TCTAAAATATAGAAAATCTATTCAAAGACATGTTCTTAAGAATTAGCAATAATGTATAAACGAATGACACAAGAGCCAGTCTACAAATGGCAGTTACTTAACAGCAGCAATAACTGAGAGTAAATAATATAACTTACGAAAACCATATAGATTATGGTTTTATATCCTCAATCAATAATTCACTTTTGTAATTCAACTTATAAAATAACTATAACATGCACTTTAAATCAATTTTCCTTTCCTAACAACTTTGAAACATTACTTAAAACTACTTAAAATTCACACTCATATTTAAAGATTAACATCTGACAAATTTCCAAACACTGTCTTAGAAAAAGAGGCCCACATAGTGCCTTTATTATTTTATTTATTTTGTGTAAATAACATTCGTATGACTCAAAATTCAAAAAGGATCTATAGATCTACACCCCATGCTTCATACATCCAATTCCCCTACATAGAAGCAACCAATTTCATCCATTTTTCATAAATCCTTTCACCCATACAAGCAAATACACATATTTCCCCTCTTTTGACACAAATGGCGGCCTCGTCCACACTATTCTGCATCTTGCTTTTCACGTTTATCTTAGAGGCTATATTTTAATCAAAGCACTCTGTAAGAATGGCTCCTTATAATCTCTCATGACCAGAATTCAGCAAATGTCAGCTATCTTTACAGAGGCACTTGAAAGGCCAAAAAAAAAAAAAAAATCCTTATCCAGTATTCTTAGTAAACGCAAACATCAAAATAAAATTTGGTGAAGTGGAGATTTTCAGAAGGTGACATGATGAAATACTTGATTAGCCATTCAAAATACTGGATTTACACACTGAAAAAGGAAACACCTGGAATGTACTACAAGTCCTTCAATGAGCTGAAAATAATCAACATAATCCACTTACAGAAATGGACCTACTGAAAATACAAAACATTAGTGAAAATAAAGCTATTTATTGGTTATATTTATTCCAAGATTAAGTTATCTCTTTCCTAAATTTTCTTTGCAACTTAAGTTCCTGTAATAAGTTTCCTTCCAGATTTATAAAGGTACTGTTCTCAAACAAATTAACTTGTTTGTCTGTTTGCATGTCCTGTTATCTTCCTCTGAAACACTATGACACTTACTTGAAGTAAGGCTTCATCATCCCTTAACATATAAAGAGCAGTATTATTTTTACAATATGCATTACTAGAGCAATACAAGTACTTCTTGTAATCTTCAACTTAAGTACTAAGAATACCCTGGTGAAAAGTCAGCTCACATAAAGCAAAGAGACCATATGAATTACCAGAGCAGTAACTTATCATGTTTAAGTAACAGAAAATAAAACATTAGAAATCTACTAAGTTTTAGGCTTGCACAACCTTATTAAAGAAGAAATGTTTTAGGCTATTGGCAGCAGCATTAGCTGTTTCATTAGGAATATATGTGTCAACTATCCTGGAATACATTTTCTTATTAAGTAAGTAAAAATTGCTGTTTCACTGTATATAAGTACATTCATGACTCTGTTTCTGCACTGTACCACAAAAATACAAAGTCATCCTTCCATTCCAGAGTTTTGGCATATGAACAAATGCAGAGGTCAGAGTTCATACACATGCTCTGTAAAACCAATCATGACTTATACAGTATTACATTCAGTAAGTCTGCTAGTACTTGTCATTTTTAAATTTTAAATAATTATTTTCTCCATGTCTACCTGGAAAGATACATGATCACTGTAACCCAGCTGCACAAATAAAGTGCTATCAGACTTACGTTAATTACCTATCACATACTTTGAACGCTGAATTTCACAAATTATTGACATTATCAAAATACCAACCATAAGAGGAAAATAGCAATGATATATTCAATAATGGTCTGTGAATCTTTTTTAAGATAATAATCATTTTCAGTGTTACTTTTTGTTTAATTCAAGTGAGAAAAGACAAACTGGCATTCTTGTTGATCTTTAGAAAAACTGTACTAATACTTGGATAGTTTTGAGACAAATTACTAGAGCATTTTGAATATCTTATATAAATAAATGTGGGCAGCACTATTGTATCTAAATTCTGCAGAACTTAAGAGCAACCACAGACAATTTTTTGAAAATGTATAATATGTCAGGATAAACCTACTCACTTAATAAGGAGATCTAACAATGTAGTAATCTGGCGAAATCCCACGTTTTTAACACGTCTTTTTCTCAAAAGTGAGAATCAATTTAACTATGAAGGACATCACAATGAAGTTTCATGGCACAACACGAGTCACAGAGGCATTGTCTTAGAAGAGACTCTCTGAACTGTAACGTGTAAACAGTATTTTGAAATAAACTACCCATACACCCCATTATTATTTCCTAACTGAAAACATTTAAATGGATTTAGTACACAACTTGCCTTTGCCCAGTCAAAAAGCTTTAGATGTCAATAAAAGGGCCTAGGAATTGGGGGATAAGTGGAAAGGAGATAATGATCTCATTTGGAATTAATTTCCTATCCCGGGTGAAAATGCCCTTATCCCCCTCAATAAGATAGTGTCCTATTACGCCTGCCCTTGTCTCCGAACACCCAACTGAGAGCAACTCTGAATGCCCTCCTCTCAACAACACCTAAGGGCTCGTCGCTCTTTCCCTCCGGAAAGGGCAGTCAAGGCCTGACAGGCATTAACCCAGAATACCCTCAAAAGTGTGGCCCTTTGAACAGCGCAGCTCTCCGGCTCCACTTACCACCTCTCCCCTTCCCCCAACCCACTTCCCGGGTTTTCTCAGGCTCGGCCTGCTCCCTCCCCAGCCCGCAGCCGCACTTCCAGCTGTTGCCACCTCGGGACTCTCACTAGAGCTCACATCCCGCCGAGCAATACTCCCCTTTCCATCAGCCCCCAAACCGTGTTCCTCCCTAGACCACCCGCCCGCGAGACCGTCCATCCCAGGGCCCTGGGAAGGGAGGGGAAGGCGGCGGAAGGAGGAGGGGAAGACTGCTGCTTCCCCACAGGCAGAAGGATGGCCGCAGAGAGCGCCACCCGGGGACTACCGGGGATCTCGGGGTCGCCACTGGGAGGGCCCTCCCGCCCCGGGCTGAGGTGAGGGATGTCCGGGAGCTCATTTCTGACCTCCTCGCTCTTCAGCACCTCCTTGAACTCCCGCTTGATTCGCTGCACCGCGATGTTGGCCATGTCTCCGCCCGCAGCTGATTCGTACCCGCCTCCTCCGCCACCGCTACGACCACCGCCACCGCCGCCACCTCTTCCTCCACCGCCTCCTCCCTCGGCGATTCAGACCCAAGCACACGAACACTGTCCCTGCCACCCGGCCGCCGCGTTCTCCTCAGTGTGGAATCACCTCCGCGCCCGGCCACCAAAATGGCGCCGGGTCCGCGCATGCGCAAGACGTTGACCCGGCCGGGCGGCGCAGCCGCTCCCGTTGTGGCCCCCATACGCCTTAGCCCGGAGCCCGCGCCGCGCCGCGCCGCGCGTCTCTGCTGGAGCTCAGGCCGCGTGGCTCCGCCCTGCTGGCGTCTGAGGCCCGGAGGGTGCGGCTTCCGAGCTGGCCATCCCTGCACCGGCGCCAGGCTTTTCCCCTGTGCCTCCGCTTCTCTTTAAACCGGTGTGATGTGGTCGTGGCTTCCAGCATTTGGCCTCTGACCGAAGGCTCCAGCCCAGCTTGATGGGTTCCCGCGGCCACTCTCGGCCTGAGCGCCGCCCTGACTCAGCTAGACCCGGGACCCAGAGGCTTAAGGTGCCCTGCTGTGTCTAGCGCATGAAAACGCTGTCCCAGAACTCAGCCCGGCCCATTTTTAGTTGGTATAGCCTCAGAAAATCAGTGGCAGTTGTTTTTGTTCTGAAACCATTATAGTGCCATTATTAGTCCCGTCATCGCGGGTACCGAAATTTTTCTTTTTTTTTTTGAGACAGAGTCTCACTCTATTGCCCAGGGTAGAGTGCCGTGGCGTCAAGCCTAGCTCACTGCAACCTCACACTCCTGGGCTCAAGTAATCCTCCTGCCTCAGCCTCCCGAGTAGCTGGTTCCACAGGTGCGCACCACCACACCCAGCTGATTTTTCTATTTTTAGTAGAGCCAGGGTCTCGCTCTTGCTCGGGTTGGTCTAGACCAAGCAATGCTTCCGCCTCAGCCTCCCAGAGTGCTGGGATTACAGGCATGAGCCACCCGCCCGGCCCGCAGGTACCACCAATTATTGAATTAAGGATGGTTATTGTTGGATCCCGTAGGGTGACACAGGTACTCCACGAAGAGGCCTGAGGTCGGTTTAGAAGCCGGATGTTGATTTTTGACCTATTTAGAAAAAAATACCAAGCGGTGGAACTAAAACCTTGGTTTTCAAACTTGAATGTGTATCAGAATCCCTGGAGAGCTTGTTAAAAGGACAGCTTGCTGGGCCCCATCCTTAGAATGTAAGGTGGGCCCAAGACTTTGCATTTGTAACAATCTCCTAGTTGCTGCTGCTGCTAGCGGTGGTTCAGGACCACACTACGAGAACCACTGAACTAAGGCATGTGAAAGTTCACATATATATGTCAATGAAAGTTGGAGAGATAGCTCCTTGAGGGAATGCAGCAGCAGAGGGTGAGCTTTACTTCTGTAAATCTAGGGCTTCTACAAACATATAGAACATGTGCCTAGTAGGCACTCAATAAATATTGAATGAGTAAATGAGTAAAGGTAAGACTAAAATGTTTTAAGTGAAAAGTAAGTTTGAAAGGCAATTTAAAAGTGATTACTAGAATTTACAGTAAGTAATGGTTTTGGTGTGAGGTAGCATTTTGAATAGAACATTTTGGGATAATAAAGGTGTTATTTTAGAAGTTTATATTTCATGTACTTCCCTCACCTAACCAATCAGTAAAATATCCTATTATACATATGGTCTTAGCAAAAGTAACTAAAATTGTGGCAGCAAAAAGAGAAATGGCCACTGGAGGCGAATCCTTCAGGGGAGGCACAAGGCAGAAGGGGATTTCTTGAACTCCTGCCCCCGGAACCTAGAGGGGATTTTTTTATTCCAGTTCTCTCCCATGCCAGCTCTCATGGCCAGCTTTGGTTTCCTCATCTGTGAAATAAGGAAACTGGATTAGATGATCTCTTTCAAGTTTAAAGAGTTCAGACTCTGAGGCATCATTTCAAAGCATTTCCCTATGTGAGCGAACATAAATTATATAAACCCTTCTAGCAGAGCCCCCTAGTGGTCCTAAAAGGAGTCAACCACATATACAGGTCATGATACAAAGAATTACTGGTATAAAGTAAATCATGCAATGCTGTATATATTTGTGTCCGCACATTTAAAACTATTTTGAGGTGTGCAGAATTTTTTGAATACTTTACATTTATCGCTTTCCAATGCTAGTCTTGAAACTTCGAAGAAACCTGCAATGCTCAAATCAAAGGGGGACCAGTTAGAAGGGTGTGGTAATTTCTTCGAGGGAGAGGAGTTTAGTAGTTTTTAAATGCACATAATCATTGACTCTGCAATTCCACTTATAGGAATTCATTCTATAGTCCTTCCAGAGAATGAGACAACTGCATATTAACTGATATGAAGCAATCTTCAAAATACATTTTAAGTGGGAAAAAAGTACCATGCTAAATACAATGTGGTATCCTGGATTGGATCCTAGAATTAAAAAGACATAACTAGTGTACTCTAAATAAATTCTGTAATTTAGTTAGTAGTATTGTAGAAATCTTAATTTCTTAGTATTGACATAGCCCTATAGTTATATATGATGTTAACATTAGTAGAAGTTGAGTAAAGAGTGTTATAAGAATCTCTGTACTGTCTTAGCAAGTTTTCTGTAAATCTAAAAAATTCCAAAGAAAAAAAGTTTACTTTTTAAAAAGCACTGGGCAGTTCATATTGTGGATAGTATATCACCATATGTGTGAGGGGAGAAAGGAATGTGCTTGTGTACATAATGCTTGTGAATCCATAAAATATTGCTGGAAAAATACTGGTAACTGTGAAAGAAACTGGTAACAGTGGTTATCTCTGAGAAGGATACTTAAGTGTTTTGAGGGAAACAAAGTGGGAGACTTCTCACCACTTGTCCTGTTGTATATTTTACCTATTCAAAAAAGAGATTTTAGGCCAGGCTGTGGTGGTGCATGCCTGTAATCCTAGCACTCTGGGAGGCCAAGGCAGGAGGATCGCTTCAGCCTAGGAGTTCAAGACCAGCCTGAGTAAAGAGCAAGACCCCATCTCTACGCACATAGAAAAAATTACCCAGCAGGCATGGTGGCACAAACCTGTAGTCCCAGCTGCTGAGGAGACTGAGGCAGGAGGATTGCATGAATCCAGAAGTTTGAGATTGCAGTAAGCTCTGATGATGCCACTACACTCTACCCAGGGTGACAGAGCAAGACTCTGTCTCAAAAATAAATTAATAAATAAAAAATAAATTAAAAAATTAAGAAAAGATTTAAAAAAACAAGTTTCCTATAATACAGATCATAAGTTCTTCAGTATTATGATCGAGTCATGATTAACTTCATTAAGTAACTAATTAGATAAATATCGAATGCCTACTATGTGCCAGGTGTAAGCTAGGCCCTAGAGGCATATCAGTGAACAAGAGATAAAAAAAAATCCCTGCAGTTATGGAATTTACATTCTAGCATGGATGGGCAGAATTAATCTCAAACCATAGTCTGTAGACACCTGGGGAATCCCTGAGATGTTTTCAGGGGGTCGACCTGCCATGCCCAAATTATGTCATGATGATACTAAGACATTATTTGCCTTTTTTTCTGTGTTGATGTTTGCACCAATGGTGCAAAGCAATAGTGGGTAAAACTGCTAGACAATTACTGTAATACTAACAATTATATTAATGCCACATACTCATTGTTAAAAAATGCCAGTTTCACTTTAGAATGTCTTCCATGAAGCAGTAGAACTTATTAATTTTGTTAAACTTTGACTTTGGAGTATGTGTCTTCTTAATATTCTATGGGATAAGATGAGGAGTATACATAAAGCACTTCTGTTACACACAAAGTACATGGTAAAGCACTGCAACTGGTTGAGTTACAAGCTGAACTAGCCACTTTATTCATGGAATACCACTTTTACTCAAAGGCTGAGACAAACTATGTTTATTCAAACTTGGGTAGTTGGCAGATATTTAATCTAAAATGAATGAGGTGAGCCTATCCTTTTAAGGAAAACAACTGACAAAATTTGTTGCCAGTGACAGAATTCTCTAATTTTCAAAAATTACAGTTTTAGAAAATATCTGCCACCATGACTTGATGCTCCCAATACTTGAAGATATTCCTGAAGAAATCGATAGTGGTGTGAAGAAATGTGATTGTTTGATATTATACAATGAAATGTATCAAAATTTGGAAGATCTGCACAAATCAGTGGACCAGTATTTTCCAAATGACCAATGCATGATGTTATAAAATCATGCATTGGTAAAAGATCCATTCAGGTTCAAGATAGGCCAATGGATTCCAATGTAACAGAGTCCAAAAAGTTCATTGATAACATTTGAGGCCACATGTGGTGGCTCACTGCCTGTAATCCTAGCACTGTGGGAGGCTGAGGCAGGAGGATCACTTGAGCCCAGGAATTTGAGGTTATAGTTGACCACTGCACTCCAGCCTGGGAGACAGAATGAGACCCTGTCTGGGGGAAAAAAAAAACCGAAAACATTTCAAATTCCAGATTGCAGCTAACCTTTAATAAACTACTACTTGTCTAGTTTTAGTGTAGTATCAAAGAATATCAACAATCATCTGAAAAAGCTGTTAAAATATTCCTCCCCTTTTCAACTACTTATCTGTATAAGGCTAGATTTTCTTCAAGTACTTCAACCAAAACAACATATGCAATACATTGAATTCCAAAGCTGATAGGAAAATCCAGCTGTGTTCTATTAAGCCAGGTATTAAAGAGATTTTGTTTTGAAAAATACAGTCATTTTTCACTAACGATATTTATGTAAGCATATGATGAGTTTATTAGACTTATACATTAGTAACTATTTCAATAATTTCTCAGTTTTAATTTCTAACAGAATGTTCATACATATAACCCACATAAAAATGCTCTTTGGAATCCTCAATATTTTTGAGGAATGTAAAGGAGTTCTGTATTAGACAAGAGGCTTAGATCTAAAAAGTCACACAATTTCAGAATATGTAATTTACATAAACATTATATATGTGACAGTTGTAAAATTGCTTTTACGTTGAATGGAGGAAAGTTCATCATGTAACTCTTCTGATGTCCCTCAAAGTTTTGACGTTTTTATTCAACTTAAAAAAAAATTGTGGCAAGGCAATCTAGTTACAGTGCTTTGCTAACCCCTGACAACCATTTAAAGTGTGAAAGCCTTCCTTTTTGTGGATCCTGTTAGTTACCATTACAGCTCTCCAGATTCAAATTTCCTGTTCTTCTAGATGTAATTTATTTTCTTGCGGCCCTTTCCTG